CCTATCCCCTGTGTNCCTTGCCTCCCACGACTATATATATATTAGAAAAAATGATTAAACAAAGCACATTCAAATAAAATTAAAAATTAATGCAAAATAGATTTTAAATAATTGATTTAGGCCCAAGGGTATTCTTACTTATTTAAAAAAAAAGACAAAAAAATATGTAAAAATAAGTATTAATGGCCAAAACTATTTCTAATCTTTGTCGTAATGATGAAAAACACTAAAAAAATACGTCACAAACAAAATCCCTTACTTTTTAAAACTCTATATATATTTTTTAAATTAGTTTTAAAAATACCTAGCCGGTCACCTAAACGTGATGAAGCATGAACCGGACCATTGTAGGTTTCGATGTAACCGGGTGGTTACCGGTTACAGTCAATAAGTTTAGGTCTCCCTTCTTTCTCCAAGCACTTGTAGATGAGAGAGAGAGAGAGAGAGAGAGAGAAAGAAAGAGTGACTGAGTTTGGCGGTGTGGAAGCGCAGGTGGACCTGAGCGGAGGTTACTACGACGCGGGGGATAACGTCAAGTTCGGATTTCCGATGGCCTTCGCGACCACCATGCTCTCGTGGTCCGCTCTGGAGTTCGGGAAACGCATGGCCTCTCAGTTGGAGCCCACTCGCGAGGCCATTCGGTGGGCCACAGACTACCTTCTAAAGGCCTCCACTTCAACTCCCAACACTCTCTATGTTGGAGTAGGTGATCCCAATACGGACCACAGGTGTGTAAAGTTAGAAAAGAGAAGAACTTCCCAGGAAAATAAAAAATAAAAAAAAAGCCAAAAGATAGTTTACTTCCTCGGGAGTAGAATGTTTATTTACTCCCTCGGATAATACACCACTTTTCAAATTTTGGGGATGCAACCTCTTCTACCCATACACTAAAATATATATATATATATATATAACTTGTTTTTCTTCTAATTCTTCCCTCTATATACTTGAACAAAATAATATATAGAGATTGAATAGAGACTCCTCCAATTTTACGATGGTGACATCTAAGTGTTGCACAACTCAAATTTTAATTTTTGTTTTTTGAGGATAATTATTTAGTAATTATTAAGTGGTTCTCAAAAATTCAGATTGAAAAAATCCTCCCATGTGTTCTGACCAAGAGAGAAAAAGTAAACTATGTTAGCCAAGGAGATAGTACACATGCTTAAAAATTTATATAAGGTTGCAACTTTATACTATAGAAGGAAGATATTTCTAAAAAATCTAATAGAAATGAGTGCTCCGAAGCTGAAATATTTTTCAATTGATCATATAGACTTTGAGATGTACAAACATAAAGAAAAATAAAAATTTCAAGTCTTAAAAATAATGTATTTTGTAATAAGGTATCTAGACTATCTATTATTAAAATTTTGTAGTATTTTATAGATCTGCTATATTTACACTATTTTTGAAATTTGGAATTTTATAATTTGTGTTGAACATTGATTTTAAAACAATCAGAAAGTTTCTGACACCGGAACAACGTCTATTCAATTTAGATGTTTTGATTACTTGTATAATATAAAGTGGGCACATTACCTAAACCTCACCTAGTGAAAATTATATGCTCCCATGGGAGTATATAGTACATCCACTCCCTCAGTAATACTCATAAGCTTTTTCATTGTAAAAAATTCTCATAATCCATTTCTAGAACCCAAATGTTGGGGGATGTCAGCTCCTTGATCTAGCAATCAACATTTAAAAAAGAAAATGTTTTGTGAGTCAACAACTTAAGAGGCCTCTGACCCACAAGCGTCCATGTGTCTAAAAGTGCACCGGACATTATTACATATGGACATCAAAAAATCTCAATATAAAATAAATATTACAATTTAAAATTTTAAATTTTTTTTCTTTCATATTCATATTCATATTCATCTTGGCCTACATCATGAATCTATAAAGATTTGGATAAAAAAGTCCATCTTTAAAATGGATTTTATAGGAGGGCTGCATGTGTATATATGAGTAGGCTGACTTATAAAAACCCCATCCTTTAAAAACTAAACTGATATTGTGAAAAAGAAACCATATGTCTTGACATGTTCTGAAAAAAATTACAACGTAAAATATAGCACAGTTCATTTATCTAGAAAAATAGCACAGAGATCTTTCAGTTTTTTGAAAATTATATCTAAGTATTTAAAAAATAAACATCAGGTGATTATAGAGAAAAAAATCTCTATTTGATGAGGCTTCTTCCTATATCTATGAATATGAATTTCATTGGCCCGGTGGATTCAAAGATTTACGATTGAGAAAAGGGAACGTATCCCCTCCACATCATGTGAAAAGCACCCTCTTAACGGTTTAGATTTCACAATGGGCCACAAAGTTAATTTTTTTATTTTATTTTATTTAAATCTTATATTATCTAAATTTTGGGATGTAAATTCATTTTTATAAAAAAGAACTAAAAAATAATTAAAATAAAAATCACCAAAATACACCAAAATGTATTTTGGTTCATATTTTTTTAACGTAATTATTATAAAAATGAAGCTAAAATTCAAATTTCGGATAAATATAATTTCGAAATTAAATATAAAATAAAAATAAAAATAAATTTTGACCCTGATGAAGCTAGTTTCAATCTTAACCATCAAAAAGTGCTTGTGCACCTTTTAACCCTAGACGTACTAGCAACCTTTTTAATATTTAATATTTATTGTGTTTTTAATGATATGAAGGTGCTGGGAGAGGCCAGAGGACATGGACACAACACGAGACGTGTACAAAGTTACACCATCGAACCCTGGCTCGGACGTGGCCGGTGAGACCGCGGCCGCACTTGCTGCGGCCTCGATGGTGTTTAGGAAGGTGGATAGGAGATATTCGAAGGTGTTGCTATCCACCGCAAAGAAGGTCATGGCCTTTGCCTATGAGCATAGAGGGGCCTATAGTGACTCACTTGGTTCGGCTGTTTGCCCCTTTTATTGCTCCTATTCGGGCTATAAGGTATGAAATATGAGAGAGAGAGAGATCATTGACCATCTTAGTGTATTTGTTGAAAATAGTGCTTAATGTGTGTGTGAGTGATCACTAACCTTTGTAATATTTTAGAAGGGAGAGAATCCATTGAAAATAGTGTTTAATGCATGTGTTAGAGAGGGAGAGATATGATTGACCATTTTAGTATTTAAGGAGAGAGAGGACACATTGAAAGTAGTGTTTAATGAATGTGGTGTAGTGAGAGAGAGATCATGGACACATTTTAGTTTTTAAGAAAGGAGAGGTGAGAGCCCATTAGAAATATTGTTGACCAGTGGTTGAGAAAAAACAGATTGGTTGGATGGATCGGCCCTCTTGAAAACTGGCCTAGGTAGGCAGATTTGTAATCCACTCAAGTGAATTGGTCAATAAAAAATAAAAAATTGAAAATGTAGGCAGGATTGATCAATTCCCTAACAGAATAGACCAGCTTTATCAGAGAACCAGTCAATTTTCAATATATAGTGGGAACCGGACCGGTTCTATCAATTTCCAATCTAAATGGATGATTTTAATCCAAATCATCATTTTTTAAAGGGTTATATTAGGGTACTTATACACATTAGTATATCTTTATTGTACTAAACATTGTTAGACACTCGATATCCTTATCCCACTATGTAATAATTTTTTTATTTCATGGGTATTTTAGGTAATTAATAAAAGATAAAATTGAAATTCTTGATAGAAATACGAATATTTAAACTGGTATGGATTAGTTGATTTGCAATTCAGTTGAGTGCAATATTTTCTAAAGGCCAATGTTGCCCCTCTCAGGTATGTTTGGAGGACAATTAATCTCATTAGGAGTGGATTATCTTATCTGAAATTAATATACCATGCATTTTTTTTTTTTTGCCTATTTGGTACATAACTTTTACTTCACATAATATTATTTATTATTTTATTTTCAGCTATTTTTAGATTTTTATGACTCGACATGTGATTTTCAGTAAAGTACTTCAAATAAAATAAAATTCGTGTAAACTTCCCATACCTTTATCTCATATATTTTCGCGAGGACACTGGCTAATGACTGTTCTTGGTTATCAGGATGAGCTGCTCTGGGGAGCCACATGGTTATTGAGGGCAACTAATGATGTTTATTATCTTAATCTAATACGGTCTTTGGGTGCCGATGATGATGCCGATATTTTCAGCTGGGATAACAAATTTGCTGGTGCCCGTGTTCTTCTTTCTAGGGTAAATGATCTTTTGTGCAGCAAAAGTCAGTTTTTTGTATGTATCTCCATATACATATAAATTTATTTAATTTTGATAAGATGGTTGTATAAATTTTTAATTTTGTTTTTATTTTGTGGGACTGCTAGAGATCTCTGGTTAATGGGGACCCAACTTTCAAGCAATTCCAAATGGAAGCTGAGAAATTCATGTGTAGCATTTTACCAAATTCGCCCTCGTCAACAACAACATATACACCAGGTGTGATTCTTGTTTTCGTTATTATTAAGAGAAAGACAGGGATAGATAGAGAGTTATGATCGATATGGAGAAGTCCATAACATAAATGAAAATTAAAAGTAGATTGCCACAAGTGTGTTATTCCCAAATACATTTGAGGGTTAATCATATTTAGAAATATAAATTATGGTTTGGTGAGAGTATTTTTATATAGAGTATTTTTTTAATGTATTCAAAAGCTTTTGTTACTTGATGCCCTTACCTTGCAGTGTAGTACCTTTTATGTCTATCGATATTTTAGATAATTAACAAGGATAAAATAGAAATTCTTGATAGAAATAAAAATATTTATTAACTATAGCGGAGAATGACATTATCCATATGAGATAATGATATCACTCACATAGAGTATTAATTATTTTTCAATCATAAAAAGAATAACGTAAGTTTTTTTTTACAAAAATATCTATTATGTCCCTTCTAATTGTAAAAAATATCATTGCTCGAAAATTTTTGTGTTCTGAAGCAAGGATAATGAGTGGCCAAAAAAATTTGAAAGTCCAGCGTTGTAACTAGGAACCGCCTCAATTGAACCATAACTAGAAGGGAACCCTAACTGATTTTCTCCCCATAACATACTCTAACACCCTAATAAATCTTCTCAACCTTTGCCTAAACATTTTAAACTTTTTCAAATTTGTCTACAATTTTCTTTTATTTTTTAACCAAAATTTTTTCTTTCATTTTGCTTTTTTTTTTGGGTTTCGTCTCATTGCAAAAGCCAGTCACTAACTTGACTAGTTCGATTCAAAACTAGTGGGTGAGTAATCCAATCTAAATTTAAAACATTGGTACATTTTTATTTAGGAAAAGTATAATAAAATTTACTGAGTTACCAAGATTGAAAGATAAAGAAGTCCATGTGAATGTTATTGCATATGCACAGGTGGACTTATTTACAAGCTAAGTTCGAGTAACCTCCAATATGTGACATCCATAAGCTTTTTGCTCTCTACATATGCAAAGTACATGATGACTTCGCATCACACCTTCAATTGTGGTGGTACCTTTGTCAACGGTCCTACACTAAGAAGACTAGCCAAGAAACAGGTATCTTTAATGTGTGTGTGTGAGAGAGAGTATTATATTTCACATGACCATAGTAACACAATGGTCATAATTCTTATGATCGTCTAATCGATTGTGATGGAGTGAGTTTCGACAACAATAACATGACATGACCCAAGTGGTGGAAACTCTCCATTCATCACCATCAATCAATTGTCCAGACGGTCATAACTATGGTGAAAATGGTGTTTCTATGATCATATGGAGAATGCTATCATTTTCATGATCACATGGATCATAGTATGCCTCGCCATATCTTCTGTTGTTAATTTTCAAATTACCTTGCGAAGTGTGCCGTATGTGTGTGTGTTCCTTTGGTATTGATATTTGATATTTTCTTTATAGGTGGACTACATTCTAGGGGACAACCCCCTTGGGATGTCCTATATGGTCGGGTTTGGACCGCAGTTCCCTCAACATGTGCACCATAGGGGCTCTTCCCTTCCCTCTATAGGGGCATACCCTCAAAGCATAGGGTGCGAAGCCGGCTTTCATGCATTCTATAATCCAAACCCTAATCCTAACCTCCATATCGGTGCTGTTGTCGGTGGGCCTGACCAAAATGACAGATACTCTGACGACCGAACGAATTATGCCCAATCAGAGCCTGCCATGTATATCAATGCCGCACTAGTGGGCCCCCTCGCTTACCTAGCTGGGAGCAATTAACACATTACTGTAGTAGTGGTCATGAGGACTCCATGTATGTGTGCCTCTTCTCTAATGAGAAAGTAGGTAATGGAGAATCCAGTTGTTAGAGAATGAAACTTTCTCTAGGTTTGTTGTGTTGGTCTAGGGGTTCATGACCTAATTGCTCTAGCAATATGGAGTCATGGGTTAAAAGTCTAACTTTCAATAGAAAAAGAAGAGTTTGTATTGAGTGGAGAGGAAAGTGGACCTTGGGTTGTAACTTGTGCGTTTTCATCAAGAACAATATTAATGATCACTCCTTCCCAAGCAGATTACCAACTGGGCTTGCCATTTTCCTAATGAAAATGTTCTTACACATAAATAAAGTGCAAATGGAAATATGAATAGATTGTGCCCATGTGGGAGCAAACAGTGCACTTACTACCTCATGCGAAAGAGCCACGTGGGAGAAATCTTTCGACCGAAATGTCGCGGATCACTTTCGATCATGAGATGGGCATATGAAATTAAAAAAGGCAATTCGGATTTTGGTTTTCTAAACATTTAGATTTGATTGTCTAAGAATTGCATGACCCATCCCCAAAGCTTAAGGCATTATTTTGTTAAAGGCACATATAAGCTTGGGTCGTGGTGGTAACACCTTCACACAACAGAGCTTTATTTTAGAGGCCAAACTGAAAAAAAGTTTATATAAGGGTGAGGTCCTGAACAATCAAATTAAAACGCACCTCAAAAATTTACTAAAAAAGGTTGTTTCGATTCTCTAAAATCCTCTAATCGATCATCTCAACTTCAAGATCTATGGATATGAGAAAAAATGAATTTCAAGGCTTGGAAATAGTATGTCATATAATCCATTTTTTGGACCATCAATTTTCAAGATTATCAAGCGGTCATAGATGTGTTCGATGTACACTATTTTTGAAGCTTAAAATTTAATAATTAGATATAAAAAATAAAATTTCAAGTTAACACAAAGATTTTTTAGTACTGAAAGAATGTATTTGAAGGTGCATCTTGTTTAGGGCCTCAGCCTTACACAAACTACAGGCCCAAGGCCCAAAACAAATCCAAAATGCTTGTTTGATGACCCACCTACCTAAGGAAATCTTGTTTCCCATGAGTTCGTTATTGGAAGCAACGGCCCACACTAACCAAGAAACCACCACCCAATCACCTCAAGCCACATCACAACAAACCAACCACATCACACCACGTGTCATTACAACAACCGTCCATTGGCACTCTTTTTGCCACTACACAAGGAGCACCCATCAATTGGGAACCACTGCTCGGCTACTTTACCTATTAACAATGCTTATTTGTATCTCCACTTCTCCACCATAAATAACATGCATATTCTTCACCATTGAAAAAAAAGAAAGAAAAATAATTAAAATAAAAAAATAGATATATTTTTCTGGTATTTTTTGAATACTATACGAATTTCGTCGGTATATCCTCTGTAATTCTATCGTATTCTTCAATTCCAGCGATAGAGGCGACGAGATGAGGCGGCGGATTGTGCTTTCTCTAGCAATCATGCTCATTTGGGATTGGGGGTCTCTTGTTTCCAGCCATCACGACTACAAAGATGCCCTTGCCAAGGCCATAGTTTTCTTCGAGGCCCAGCGATCGGGGAGGCTTCCATCTGATCAATCAATCAAATGGCGTTTGGATTCCGGCCTCTCCGATGGCTCCACAGTTAATGTATGTATTTGTCAACTTGCCTCTCGAAATAGATAATTTATGGTTTTTTTTTTTTTGACTATATGAAACTTATCGAGATGGGTTTTTGAAAAGATCCTTGAAATATATCTTTTGAAAATTTTGAGTTGAAATACCCAAAAACCCTCATTTTTTATATCTAAATATATATTTTTAAGAGAAAAATAAAGAAAATACATCACAAATTGCAAAATCCATCTGTTTCGACTCTCAAAGTTACAGATCATCCGACAATTTAAAATAAAAATATCAACTTAATTAATTAATAAGTTTGATTTTCATTTTATTTTGCATTGTTTTTCTTTTGGAAGTCTGCTAACCGATTCAAATAAAGAACAGATTATTATTTTGGTGAAAATACATATTCTTTCTTTTTATCTTGCTTGCATATAAGAAGTGAGGACTTTCAATATTTGAGGAATTAAAATGGTAGGTCCAAAAAAAGAAAGAAAACGAAAGTACAAAATAGATCATTTTTAATGCTTGAAATAAAATTTTCTCAGACTTATTATTGAGGATGATCTCCAAAATAGATTTTTGGAGATCATGTTTGGTTTAGATGGCTAGAAATGATAAGTTTAACAGTTTAAATTACATAATATAGGTGGATTTGAGTGGAGGATACTATGATGCTGGAGACAATGTGAAATTTGGTCTACCCATGGCTTTCACCACCACCATGCTCTCATGGAGTGTTCTCGAGTTCGGTAGGCGCATGGGCAACGAGCTCGATCAAGCTCACAAAGCGATCCGGTGGGGCACCGACTATCTCCTGAAGGCCACTAGTGCCCTTCCTAATGCCCTCTATGTCCAAGTTGGTGACCCGGTGGCTGACCACCAGTGTTGGCAAAGGGCAGAGGACACAGACACACCTCGCACCGTTTACAACGTCTCCCCTGCAAATCCTGGCTCAGATGTTGCAGGGGAAACTGCAGCAGCTCTTGCCGCGGCATCGAAGGTGTTCAAAAAAGTTGATCCTGATTACTCTAAAACACTTTTGGATGCCGCTGGAAAGGCCTTCGACTTTGCAGATAGGTATAGAGGGGCGTATAGTGACCATTTGTCGGAGGCGGTTTGCCCGTTTTATTGCTCTTACTCTGGTTACTTGGTAAGTTTTGAGTTGTTTCGATATAAATATTTGGGCAAGCTTTCGATGCTTTCCCTACAGCATAAAATTTATATACTTCCCCTTATCCAACCATTCTGAATGGAGGGTTAATATTGCCCCAATCACAATATCACATCTCTACCTTATTTTATTTTTAATTTTTGTTTTTATAAACTATTTTAAAACCAAAATTTGGACGTCCAATCCTCTATTAAACTCACAATGTCACGTCTCTACACTATTTTATTTTTAATTTTCTTTCTATAAAATATTTTGAAACCGAATTTTGGACATCTAATCCTCTATTAAACTCACACTAGTGAAAAATATAAAAACATATTTCCAAAAGAATAAAATGACCAAAATACCCCTGAAAGTTTCAAGGGGTATTTTGGTATTTTATCGATAAATTATTTTAAATATTTTTTTTATAGGTGCGCCTCAATGAGAAGATGACACATACCAAATTTCATATTCATAACATTTGTATAAAAAAAACTAAAATTAAATACTTTGAGACGTCAGATCTAAGATCAAACAGTGAGTGACTATTTTGATGAAAATTGGACGGTTGGATGGTAGGGGAAGCGTAGATCTTTTATATTGTAGAGGAAGTACAAAAACATTTCCCTAAATTTTTTCCATGGAAAACAATTTGTCTACAACGAATAAAACCTGCCCATCCCCATTTTGGGGCCCTAGGTCGCAGTTGTTGGCCAACTTTGCCACACCCATCTTCTTGGTCTTGGTAAAGAAGGTTGTGAATATTTTATTTTTTAAAAAATGTATACAATGAGACCATTTATGTTTTATATAAAGAGTAAGAGCCATTATCGACTGTTAGATTTGAAATCTAGCGGTTGAGGATATGTTATTGCTTGGGCACAAAGTCCAAAACAGAATTTCTCAAACGTTGCGATAAAGCTTGAAATCCAATGATCAAAAGTGATTGTAACCTCATTGTACAAAAACAAAAGGGATTGTATACAATGAGACTAGTTACCTTTGATACAAGGTGGTCACAATTACTTACAACCATCCGATCTGAAGTTTGATTGTTTGGATGTGTCATGAAGTTTGAAAACATTTTTTTTGAAGTTTGAGCTTGGTCGATGAAATAATTACAGCTACCCAATTTCACATCCAATGGTCCAAATTAATGTCTCAGCTTGTACCAAAAGTAAATGGTCTCATTCTATACTTTCTCAAAACGAAATTGTCTAATAGTATACCATCCCAAAAAATAAACTATAAAATATAGTTTTCTTTTTGGCGAAAGAAAATACAGTGAATAGTGAATATGCATAATCCATTTAGGAAAGAAAAGGTGTTGCAAGGTCCAGGCCTGGGGGCACATTTTCAGCCCCAAAATTTGTTTTTCGATGAACAATTAAAATGAAATAAGCAAGATGTATTTCGCAAAATTTGGGGCCAAAAGAGGGTCCACAAGGTTCCCAAAATGGGGGAGCGTGGACAACGGTGGCTGACCACCCAAGGGTGGACGCAATGTTTTTGTTTTTGGTTTTGGATTTTTTAAATACGAAACGAAGTTTTGATACTTATTTTCCTTTTAATTTAGAAGCGTAGTTTCTTTGCTTTTGATCCAAAGAAATAATCATATGTACATTTTTTCACTTTTCTTTTTATATTTTCAACTTTTCTTTTTTACAATTTCAATTGTAGCTTCCCATAAGACAAACAGGGAGGTACAATTAGTGTACCATTTAGACAAACAGGGAGGTACAAATTTTAGGTGATATTAAAGTAACGTTTTAGTAAGGTTTCAACAAGAAAAGTCAAGAAAACTTTATTAAGTTTTCAACAGGTTAAACATAAGTGTTGTATTCTTAATATTATCGATGACACAAAAAATATCAACATGCTTGCTCATGTTATACAGGGGCCAACGGCCCCCCCCCCCTGTTTGGCCAATCCAGCGAAAGAAAACTTCTATTCTTTCTTTGTTCTTAATTATTGAAAAGGGTGTGATTTGTATAAGGTTGCAACCTTAATCAATCCAATTAAGGCACACCTCCAAATTTTATCATGACATATAATTTTGGTCTAAAGAATACGTAGGATTATCCAAAAATCTATTTTTATCTTTAATTACAAGAATTTAAATTCTAAAAATGGTTAAAATCAAATAGATCTATAAACATATGAAAATTTTGAAAATAGACGGTCTAGATAATGTATTGCAAGATGCACTATTTTTGGGACTTAAATTTTATTTATTTTTGTATATTCACACTTCTTGATATCGAGATGATCAATTAGTGGGTTTCTCAACATTAAAATAACATTTTTCGATAGATTTTTTATGTGCATCTTTAATTCTATACTTTATGATTGCAACCTTATATAAACTTTTGCCTATTCAAAAATACAAAAAAGAAAACATCCAACTTAGATTTCTTTTATGAATTTTGCAGGATGAGCTATTATGGGGTGCAGCTTGGATGTTCAAAGCCACCCACAATTCTTCCTATCTTGATTATGCACAGGCACTTGGAGCCAACGCTCCATGCGATACTTTCAGTTGGGACAATAAGCTGGCTGGAGCTAGGGTCCTCCTTTCCAAGGTAAGGGAGAGGGAGAGAGAGCAAATTTCGATCCTATTGCTCTCTATATACTCTTCATCCTTCACAATCACAGTCTTGATGATTCATTTTTCGAGTCTCAGGGTGTCTGATTGACTAGCTGACTCAAAGAATTGAGATAAAGCTCTGATGATGATGAGGGTGTCGGGTCAACTTGACTTAAGATATGCCCTAGGGGGCTTTGGTCCCACCTAAGTATTCTATGTGCTCCTCCTCCATTATATTTGGATGCCAGATATTGGCCCAACTAGTTTACAACCCTACTTCATCTTGCACAATGCTTAAAAATGGATTTGTGACCCGGACTGCCTGTCTGGGAAACATGTTTTGATTGGCAGATTTGCAGCCTGGATTGACTATCTGGCCAAATGAATCAGCCAATAAAAAATTTAAAAATATAGAAAAAAAAAAAATTTCAAAAAAAAAAAAAAAGTAAGGGTCGGGTCAGCCCGTTCCTAGTGGAAACTGTTTGATTCCCAATATATTGTAGAAATTGGATCGGTCCCACCGATTCGCGATATAGATCGGGTGATTCCTATTTGATTGGCATTTTTTAAAACCCTAAGCTTGCATGCAGGCAATAAAAAACTCATCTGATTACTCTCTCTGGGCATTGAATCTTCAGGGTTCGCATGTCAAAAATGACGAGCCGCTTGCCGAATTCCGATCACAGGCAGAGAACTTCATGTGCAGCGTTTTGCCTGGTTCTCCAATGCTCAAGATAGAATACACACCAGGGGGACTCCTACACAAGATGAATGCGAGCAACATGCAGTATGTGACATCCACCACTTTCTTACTCTCAACTTATGCCAAGTACATGAAGCATTTGGATAGAACATTCACTTGTGGTTCTCTAGTGGTCACACCAGCCCTCCTCAGAGAGGTAGCCAAGAGTCAGGTATGTAAATTGTCTTCACCTTAGTTATTAGGGTTGATAGTAAGGCCAGGGTTCTACCCTAAAGACCCAGCAGGATGACAGGAACTTATGGGTCTGGTTTTGACTCCTTGGGTTTGGTGCACGAGTAAAAAACCAATAAAAAAGGTTGTTTTTACATTAGGTAACCCTCCGATTGATCATCTCAACCTCAAGATGCATGCATATAAAAAAAAAAGGCTTTCAAGTATTACAAATAGTATACCTTGTAACACAATATTTGGACCATCCATATTCAAGATTTTAAAGTGCTTATAGTAATAATTGATATCACCATTTTTGGAGTTTTAAATGTCATACTTAGGAGTGAAACCAGATTTTTCAGACGATCATAAGCGTTTCTAGTATCAAAACTGTAATTTCTAGCAGGTCTTACTTTAATTGTTTAAAGTGGATGCCTTATGTAAAATGTTTATACAAGATTGCAATTTTATACTATAGAAATAAAGTAAGTTTATACAAGGTTGCAATTTTATACTATAGAAATCAGGTGCTCCTAAGAAATTCAATAGAAATGAGCATTCCAAAGTTTTTGAAAAATCTTTTAATTGATCATCTCATATATATATATGAAATTTTATAACTAGGGTTGAACATAAATTTTCAAGTCATCGTAAGGTTTTCGATACAAGAACTACATCTTTTAGCAAAGTTTAAAGATGTGCTTTACTTGTATAGTATACCTTATACAAATCTCACCCTTTGAATATATTCTTTTGGCTTTTTATAATCTTTTAGTCATTGAAAAACACAATTCTTTCACTGGAATTCTAAATAATATAAATATGCTTTTCCATTGTTGCAGGTTGATTACGTACTAGGAGATAATCCACGAGGGATGTCATACATGGTTGGTTATGGGGACAAATTTCCTCAACACATACATCACAGGGGCTCTTCTCTACCGAGCATCACCATTAACACTCAAAGAATTGGATGTGATGCTGGTTTCCAATCCCTTAAGGACTCAAACCCTAACCCTAATTTGCTCCTTGGTGCGATTGTGGGTGGGCCCGACAAATTCGATTCCTTCACTGATGATCGGAACAATTATGCCCAAACAGAACCCACCACGTACATCAATGCCCCGTTGGTGGGGCCCCTTGCTTACTTGGCTTCTAGCTTCAACTGATGAGATAGGATATGAAACTACTTTGGATCACTATAACATGGAGTTTTATTAAACATGAATAAGAACACAATGTCCTGAAATTTGGGATCCTTTGTGTCTCCCTTTCTCAATGTGTGTATATGTGCATATGTGTCCCCAACATTATGGCTTGGTGGTCCAATTCATATCAGTTCTACCCAATAGCAAAAGGAAGATAAGGAAGAGGAATAGGGTTTGGGCTTGAGTAGTTAGCAGCTGAAGTCTAGCAAAGCTACTTGAAGATAACTAACTTATGATTGACGAAAAAGATTAATTAACAAATAATCAACAATTAGAAAACCACTAATGCTAAATAAATTTCAGGCAATAAATCCATGTTTCTTTTTTCTATTTATCTTGGCGTGGAAAAGAAATGTTGTATCAAAATGATTTTCCTGATCGTTTCCAAAATTACATTATTGTTGATATTGCATAAAAGGAAAAAAGAATATTTTTTTTATGCTTGGTCTATGTCTTTTTTCACAAATATAAAACCCAAGCATGTTCTAGTGTTTAAAATGTGGGACTTAGGCTCCAATTCCTGAGGCTCAAAAGATCTAATCGAACCGGGAATTTTCTCGTAAAAAGTTTATTAAAAAAAGGCATTAGGTAGTTCCAGGCGTTTTTGACTAAAAATCGCCTGGCTCCATATCCGGTCCAACTAGGCGAGTCCAAAACTGCAACTCTTTAAAGTTTAAACAATGGTAGTTGTTCTTTGCAAATAGAGTCCATTTAGTTAGGCATGTACACTGTGATCCTGTGGGCATACACTTTGCAATAATTCTTTTGAGCGAAAGAGCTACTTGAGTTTTTTTTTTTTTTTTAAAAAAAATTTTGAGATCTCCTTAAGAATTACAATATGAATATAAAAAAGAACTGAATTTTGAGTTATTCAGATCTCACATTCCAAAAGTTCAATGCTCCTAGTCAATCTTCGAACTTTATTTTGCATTTTTTTTATTTTTCTTGTTGTTGAAGTTAGTCACTAGATTGAATTGCTTACATTCCCCAAAATTTCAGGCCCCAAAAAATCTTAGATAGTACGATACAACCCAGGAGAGTAAATAGACAGTGTGCTCCCCCATGATCACAAAATTTATTGGCTTTAAGATGATATATGTAACCCACTTTCCCCTTGATTTCACATAGGCAAAAGATATTATACTCCCACGGGAGTAGAATGTCGATTTACTTCCTCGAGTAAAACCCCACCTAGAATTTATTTTAGGACCCCAATAACCTCTTAAACCCATAGATTAACTTCAATAGAAAAATACCTAATTGTACCTTTTGCACTTGAAAAAGTACCGTCTCGAGTTTGAATGGAGACCATCCAATTTTTAAATAGTTCCCAAAATTGTACTCATCTAATAATTTTTAAAGGGAAAAGTTTATATTGGGCCGAGGCTCGAAAAAATCAATTTTGAGCCTACCTCAAAAATTTCACTAGAAGATGATGTTTTAATGCCCAAATGTCCTCAAATTGATCATCTCAACATCAAGATGCATGGACATTGAGAAAAAAAAAAAAAGATTTCAAGTTTTGGAAATAGTGTATTATGTAACATATATTTAGATCGTCAATTTTCAAGATTTTCAAGTTTTCATAGGTCTATCGATCTAAACTATTTTTGAAGCTTTAAACTTTATAAATAAAGATTTGAAAATATATTTTAAAGCTATCGTAAATATTTTCAGTATTGAAACCAAATTTCTCGATATTATTTAAAGGTAAGCACTAATTTGATTGTTTAGGGCCAACATGTGCTCAGCAGCAGAAGTATACTTTCCATTTATTTTGGGTAAATAATAGGGATTGTATGAGACTTTTTACCTCTAATACAAACATGTCACACTTATAACCATATGATGTGAAATCCGATAGCTTAAGTGAGTCACAAAATTTGATAAAAAAAATTTTAAAAAAATTTGAGCTTAGTTCATGAAATAAATACAGCTCTCCAATTTCACATCCAATGGTCAAGATCAATTATGATTGCCTAGTACCTAAATGGTCTCATTGTACACTTTTTTGCATATTAAGTATAGATCTCGAATAGGGGTAGGAATGGGTCGCGTCCGGCTGGACTGAGACCTAAACCCAAATGTATTTAGGTCCAGGTTTTGGACGTGGAGCCGGCCTGTCGGGTCCATTCGACTCATACCCGTACCCATTAGGTCTATTCCATCGGGTCTCGGGTTTAGCCGATCCATTGCCACCATTACTATGAACTTCTTCTTTTTTTTTTAGTTTTTTTTTTAATTATTATATACCCATGTTATTGGCAACAAGGTCACAATCACCTGCTATTAGATTTCAAGTCGTCTTATTTATCGTTTAATAGCTAAAAATGACTACAAATTCTTGTTATATATGATCTTTAATACACCCAAACGAATATGATTTGAAGCATTATATTTCCAACCGTTTATAGGTATGGGTTGGGTCCAACCGGACGCGGACCCATACTCGAATAATGTTCGGGTCGAGGTTTTGAACCCAGATCGGACCCACAGGTCTAATTGTTGGACCTATACCTGGACCTGTGTCGGGTACGTGTCGGGTTTTGGTCCGGGTCAATTGCCACCCCTAATCTCGCACGGGTAAAAAGAGATAAAAAATCGGTTCCCCAAATTCAGGTGAAGGAATCCAGGGGCGGCCACGTTTTGGAGAGAGAGAGAGGGCCCATTGGTGATTTACTAAGAACAAAGAAACTGACAATGCTTACGTTTTGTTTTAAGAGAGAGAGAGAGGGCCCATTGGTGAATTACTAAGAACAAAGAAACTGACAATGCTTACGTTTTGTTTTTAGTAGAGAGAGAGAGACAGGAGATGTTTTCGTTTTCATTAGAGAGGCCCATTGGTGAATTAACAAGAACGTGAAAACTGACAATGCTTACATTTTGTTTTTAGTAGAGAGAGAGAGACAGGAGATGTTTTCGTTTTCATTAGAGAGGCCCATTGGTGAATTAACAAGAACGTGAAAACTGACAATGCTTACGTTTGTTTGTATTTTAGAGAGAGAGGCGGGCCGATTGGTCCATTTGAGAGAAGCAACATTTTAGAGAGAGGGGCGGGCCCATTGCTGAATACTGAAAACAGAGAAACCGGCGATGTTTGCGCTTGTATTTTGAAGTGTCAGTTCCACACGTTTTCTCCAATAAAAAGAGGTCTATGTAAAGTGTGAATCGAGGTGGGAATTTGGGTCGACGCATCCGGGTCTGGAACCAGAATTTGGATCTGATGGGTCGGGTCAATTTAACTTTGACTTGATTTTGGTCGGGCCCAAGTCCTAGTTGAATGTAGATATAGTCGGGTCGGGTTGGATCTAGGTTGGGTTGACCTGAACCGACCCAACCCAGTCTATATTAATATAAATACATATTAATAAGTGCAAGATTTCTATATTTCTTCTAATGTATAATAGTTACATACTTCTCTTTAGCGGCCAGGTCAAAATGAACAACTGAGATGAATCCAACTACAATGTCATGCTTCTACATTGTTTTATTTTTTATTTTTTTTACAAAATATTTTGACACCATATTTTTGGCATCCACTCGTCTCTTAAACTTGCACATGCAAAAAATATAAAATAATATTCATAATAAAAATAAAATGTCCAAAATACCTCTAAGAGCTTCAAGGGTGTTTTCGTTATTTCATTTTATTGGATTTTTTTTTTTTTTTTTTTAAGTGCACCCCATTGAGATGAAGGCACATACCAAATTTCATATTCACATAATTTGTAGAATAAAAATTAAAAATAAAATACTATGAGACGTTAAATAAGAACAAACAGTGATGAAACGATTAATAGCTCATTTGATCTAAATTGGAAGGCTGGATCAGGGAAAATATGGAACTTCTATATAATAGGGGATGTATAAAAACATTTCCCTATAATATTAAGTATATTATATAGCATATATCCTATAGGGTGCGGTTGTATAGAGCCAAAGCTCTAAACAATCAAAGTAAAGCCCACCTTTAAATAGTGCTGAGAAATATGGTTTCAATATTGGAAATCTGTGTGATAGACTTAAAATATATTTTTATCTTTAATTATAAAATTTAAAGCTTCAAAACTAGTGTAGATTGAAGAGTTCTATGAAACCTTAAAAATCTTGAAAATTGATAGTCCAAAATATGCATTACAAGATGCACTATTTCTAAAACTTGAAATCCATTTTTTTTCTCATGTCCATGCATCTTGATGTCGAAATGATCAATTTGAAGATATTTAAGTATCAAAACAACCTTTTCTAGTGAAAATTTTAAAGTACACTCTAATTTGATTGTTCATAGCCTCGCACTCATATGAACTTTACTTTTTCCTATACCATATGGTATACTTTTTGTATTATTTGTTTACAGACCCAACCAGACCTGGAGGGTTAGTCCAGCTCCAATTGATGAACCTGACCTAGGTCCGGGTCCATGAAGGGTTAGTCCTGGTCCAATTGACGAACCTGACCTAGATCCGGGTCCAACTTATAACTACTCTGATCAACCCAACCCATTCCCACTCATAAGTGTGAACCTCTCTCTCTCTTCTCATCCACCGTTTGGCTTTTGACCGACCAAATGGAAACAAAAAGCAATAATTACTTCATTTCCCTTTCTAACTGTATAACAACAAAGAAAAGGGCGTCTCCTCTCTCTCTTGCACCCACATCCATATATTTGATGAATTTTAATTTTTTAACTTCTCGTGTTAATTGTGTTAAGGTTCAAAAAAATAAAATAATTCTCACGGTATTTTTTTTTACAAGAACTTTTCATGTTTATTCTTTTCCTCACCTCCCACGCAAGTAGGGTCCGGGTCCTACTCCATAGGACTCGAACCTAGGCTATTAGGTTTGGGTTGGATATACATGTGTTTGTGTGTGCAGACTGACTGTGACCTAGACCCGAATAGGTTTGGGCTAGATTTGAAATAGGACTAGAACAGTTGGGTTCATTCCTATTGGATCTTGACCTAACCGGCTTAGTCCACCTCCCAATTCCGGACCGAATTAGCAAGGGTCGACTTGCACAGACACATTCATAAACACACACTCACTTGGGCATAAGGGGAAGAATGTCGACCAATCCTGAAGAAAAGGAACAGAGAGAGTGTGTGTGAGTGCAGGGATGGCAATGGATCCAGACCTGACCTGGGACCCTAGGGTTGGATTGGAGTATGGGTCCAAAAATTGGATCCAGTGAGTCGGGTTCATGTCCAAATCTTGGACCCACACTATTCGCATCCGGGTGTCAAATTGGGTCCGGTAATATTTTTTAGGTCCCAATATATGAAATATATTTAATTATAGTTAAACACAAAGGCATTTTAATTGTTGGGTCGGGTCCGGGTCCCGGTCCCACACTATATTTTCGAGTCCGGGTTCGGGTCCAGTGAATTCAGGCCTGGTTGGGTCTAGGTCCGGGTCCAGGTCCGGGTCCTGGTCCAGGTCCGGTCTACCACCCGTATGTGAGTGATTCTGGCTATAATAATGGAAGAGTTGATTTTTAGAATCAACTCATTTAGAAATTAACGTCACTTTTGAGTTCAATTTTGACAAAAAGCTGCCCTAAAATTTTCTCCACTAGGAGAAATAGAAGACAAAAATTTTCCCAAATTTTAAGAGAGACTTTACAAGGTGCTTCTATTATTATTTTTTTTGAAATGATGTATTATCTAGAGCCCCTAATGTATGCACATGGTTTCCACCTCACCAATAAGGAAACTCCTTTAACTACCTTTACACAAGGTCATCAAATATCCATACACAAGAGGCCACATCGAAAATGTTCCCCTAAATTTAGAGGCGCCTCTAACTTCCTCCCTCTCTCTCTTTTGGTGTACCAAAACTCACCTATCCAACCCCCACATCCCTTTTCCATGATTTCTCCTCTTTTTATTCAAACCTCTGCTAAAACTTCCTCTAAATCTAGCTACCCTCCATTTTCCCTCACCGAAAGCCACCATTAATCCTGCAACTTTTACTATTTTTGGAAACCCTAATCCCTTATAAATCACTTCTCACCCTAACCCAATTCCACTCATCCAAAGTCCCCCTAAAAGCATGGCTAAACTTACCAAAGTCCTCTACATTTGGGGTGTTCTAAGCCTCTTTGTTGTAGCTAGTGAGGCCAGGTTTCACCGTAGTAGAGGGTTTGTTAGGACCCCTGGCACAAGGTTCATGCTCAATGGGTCTCCATTTTTGTTTAATGGGTTCAATTCTTATTGGATGATGCATGTTGCGGCCGAGCCTAGTGAGAGAAACAAGGTGTCGACTGTGATGCAGCAGGCGGCGGGTGCCGGGCTCACCGTCGGTAGGACATGGGCATTTAGTGATGGCGGTGACCATGCCCTTCAAATTTCGCCTGGTCTCTACGATGAACGTGTCTTTCAGGTTTACTCTCTCTCTCTCTCTCTACAAAATGCAGATACATACCTACATTATGTTTCAACTTACAAATATAGGTACAAACGTTGCAGGCAATACAAGATGGAATTATATATTATAAAACTATTTATCTTTGGTACAACGATTTAACAATCATCCTCAACTGTCAAATATTACAATATATAGCCTCCACCTTTTATCTCGACGACGGAAGGTGGAGATGATAGTACCCACTAAGGGTGGCTTCTACACTTTCACTAATAGGTGTTAGTGTTAGTTCAACTTAAATTGTACTTGTATTTGTTCCTAACTGACCAAATGTATTTATGCACATAAGGAGTTTGGTGATCACATTACTTGTATCCATGCATTTCATGGAGTATATTTTTTACTCTCTCTCTCTCTCTAGATTTCTTCATTGAGTTAGAGTTTTGGAGTTTCAAAATCAGACATGAATTTAGTCGCCAAAACTACTGTCGATGTATACTATATTCCCGCGGGAGCACATTGTACACTAGCTCCCTCAGGCAAAAGAGCTACTTAAGAGCATTTTTGGAAGTCAAATTTTGGATTCCACATTAGAATCACTAGATGAGTATTTGCAAAAGAAAAAAATTGGACTTGGAGATCCTAAACACTTAAATATGATCGATTGCATTCCCTAATTTAAGATCATAAAAGTACTTCTAGACACAATTTTACTGGAGGCAGTGAATGTGCGATATGTTTCCGCGGGAGTATATAGCTTTTTTACTTTAAATAAGGAAATAACATGCATTTGTTGTTCATTAGGGTCTGGACTTCGTAATATCGGAGGCAAGAAGGCATGGGATTCGCCTAATTTTGAGCCTCACAAACAATTACAATGACTATGGAGGGAGAGCTCAATATGTGAAGTGGGCAAGAGATGCAGGGGCTCATGTTGGAAGTGATGATGACTTCTATACAAATCCATTATTGAAGACATACTACAAGAACCATGTGAAGGTAACTATTTTTTTTTTTAAAAAAGTGGTGTTGGAAGCTATGCTTTGAATTCTTTGGTGTAATTTAAGATGTAATTTCAGTTGTTAATAGACTTGTTTTTTCTCGGGGGCGTAATTGACGGGGTTGGGGAGAGCCGTCCGGTATGTTTAGAGATCTCATAGTGATTTTCACCTGTGGACGTAGTCACATAAATATTGATATTCTCATGTGCTATTTCTTTTTTATTGTGTGCTTATTGCGGCTGATGTCTCTCATTATTTTACTTTTGTTTTTCACATTATCATCAACCCGTGTGGTCAAGGTTTTGCGCAACAAAAGAAGAGGTTTAAACCGCAAGGATAAAATTTTCACATTATTTTCTCTGTATTTCTTAGTAATTTTTTTTCTTTTTTATCTTTAATTAATGAGATGATTTTTAACATTGAGTTGTAATACTAGGAGTTTTGCTGCTTTTGCTCTCTTACCTTTTTTTTTTTAGGCCTATATTTCTCTCCCTTTCTCTTTATAGTTCACAAATTTACAAGAAATGGTATCCCCTATGAAAAATTTTCTCATTGGTTTCATGTAGAGATTAACAAGAAATGGTATCTCTTATAGAAAATTTTCTGATTGGTTTCATGTAGAGAGTGATAACACGAGTTAACAGCATCACTAAGATTGCATATAGAGACGACCCCACAATCATGGCATGGGAGCTCATGAATGAACCCCGTTGCCAGGCTGATTATTCAGGAAGGACTCTGACGGTAAATCTCTCTCTTTTTCTTTCCTGGTAAAAAAAATTCGGAGTACTGAATTCTAGGTTCATTATTAGTGTAGTGTATTCTAAAATAACCCATCTCTTGCTTTGTATCCAAAAAGAGGACACTTTTTACTTAACTATATTAAGCTGAGGGCAATTAACTTATTTTCTTTTAATATTTGGTTTAAATTTTCAGGGATGGGTCCAAGAGATGGCAGCTTTTGTTAAGTCACTAGATAGGAACCATTTGGTGGAGATAGGGATGGAGGGCTTCTATGGTGATACAATGCCCCAAGAAAAGGCAATAAATCCTGGCTACCAAGTTGGCACTGATTTTATAACCAATAACCTGGTGAGAGAAGTTGATTTTGCCACTATACATGCATACCCTGATATATGGTAAGCTCTTATATCTATGGTAGGGAAAGTATTTTGTAGGACCTGGCTTTATAAAACTGCACCTTAAATTTCACCTGAAATTGCAGTTCTTAGACTAGAAAACTTATAAATCACTCATTATGACCTCTATAGTTATGGACCTAAGAAAAAAAAAAAAGGCCAAAAAAGATTTCAAGTTCTAAAATTGTATGTTTTGCAACACTTTTTTTAGACGAGGTACTTCATATTCCATGGGTCTGTTTGGTTTATGGAGCTTTAAATTTCATAATCAGGAGTAAAAATAGATTTGCAGGCTATCAAGGTTGTTAGGTGTGGCCTTACCAAATATAAAAAAAGTGTTGCCGTACAAAAACCATGCCCATTATTATATGCTCTTCTTGTTCAATGTATATTATACAAATTTTCTTTCAGTTTTTTTCTATGTTATGTAATAATAATGTTGAATTTAATTAACTTTTCATAACTACAGGCTCTCTGGACAAAGTGATGAGGCTCAACTTGCATTTATGCAAAGGTGGATGCAAAGTCATTGGAGAGATTCAAAGAGAGTTCTGAAAAAACCCTTGGTTTTTGCTGAATTTGGAAAGTCCAAGAAAGACCCTGGATACAACATAGGCGCAAGGGACTCATTTCTAAATTCCATTTATAGAAATATTTACCAGTTAGCCAGAAGTGGAGGAACAATTGGGGGTGGGCTTATTTGGCAATTAATGGCTGAGGGCATGGAGTCTTTCTACGATGGTTATGAGATTGTCTTGTCCCAAAGTCCCTCAACATATGGGGTTATTTCTGGGCAGTCCCATAAGATGTCCGCCCTTGGAAGACTTCATGGTCACCATTTAGGCCATCCATACACAGGGAAGAGAACAGTGCCTTAAAAAGTGTTATTTGTTTAGAGTTTAGGGTTTAGGGTTAAAAAAAATCCGAATTTAGACCTATATTTTAGGGTTTTTTGGAATTCGGAACTAATCAGCAAATCATAGGTTTAGTGCTTGGGATTTAGATGGTTTTTTCAGGAATTCAGGGTTGTGGGTACACTTTAGGTTTGGGGATTAGGATTTAGAGATTTTTTTTTTTTTAATTTAGTATTGTGGGTATATTTGGTTTTATTTACGGTTGGAAATTGATTATTTTCTCCTTTTATTGTTTTGGGAGATTGTCAAGGATTAGGGTTTTGGGGTTGGCCTTTTGAAATTGATGTAGCCAATTGAATATGATATCCATTGTCATGGTGATGTCAAGCATGACGTATGTGATTCGTTCATGACGTCTTTTTAATTTTTTATTGCAAGAAAAAGTGTCTTACTTGAACTAGTTCCATGTAATTTCCCCTTGTTGCTATATGAAACATTTATCATTTGAAGCAAAACTTTACGTGCTTCTCTCTCTCTCTACAATTTAAGTGCCATTTTAATAAGAAAATCTGTCTCTGAAGTGCCATTTTCAATAAGGAAATCTCTCTCTCTCAAAGTGCCATTTTCAATAAGCAAATGAAAGTGGATTTTTCAATAAGAAAATCTCTCTCTAGACATTTAAGGACTTGGCCATGGTGGCCATGGTCTCTCTCTATTGTCGCAGGTGTATGTATATGCTGGCCCTTCCAACACTAACATAATTAACATTTGGAAAGTTCATCAAAATATTCCTCATTTTTCAACTATTTATCATTTTCTATTTTTCTACTATTCTCTCATGTGTATGTCTATGCTGGCCCTTTTAACACTAACATAATTAACATTCGGAAAGTTCGTCAAAATATTCCTCATTTTTCAACTATTTATCATTTTGTATTTTTCTACTATTCTAACTAAAAAATTATGTATATTTTGATGGGTGTTTTGAAATTAAATCAAGATATATGGGGTAATACATTAAATAGTTAATAATTTTAAGCCGTCATCATCATCCTCCCAATCTTATGGGCTTGGCAGTTAATTCAAAAGTATATTTTGATAAATTTCCTTTAACATTTATTAACACTATTTTGGAATTCTATGACCACTTCTAAAAAAAAGAGAGGTTTCTATGCTTCCCCTACAACATAGAAGGTCTGTCCTCCCCCTACCATCCAGCCATCCAATTTTGATCAAGAGAGCCACTCACCGTTTGATCCTAGATCCGACATCTTAAAGTATTTTATTTTTAGTTTTTTATATACAAATTGTATGAATATGAACATCTTCTCATTGGGGCGCACTTATAAAAAATATTAAAATTAATTTTTCGATAAAATATAATGACTAAAATACCCCCTGAAATTTGAAGGGGTATTTTGATCATTTATTTTATTGAAAATATTGTTTTTTTTATATTTTTCGCTACTGCGAGTTTAATAGAGGAATGGATGTCCAAAATTTGGTGTCAAAATAGTTTATAAAAAAAAATTAAAAATAAAATAATGTAGAGATATGACATTGTGATTTGGACAATCTTAGCCCTTCATTCAAAATGAGCGGTTGGATAAGGGGAGGATAGAACTTCTATGCTGTAGGGAAAGTACGGAAAGCTTGCCCGTAAAAAAAACCTTACGACTACACATTGTGGAGCACTTCCACATATGCGCATTATCTTAAGAGCATATTGTGCATATACACCTTTGGGCTCGGTAGGACTTTTTCGATTAGAAATTTTGTAAACCACTGAATAATCAAGAATATGATTATTTTTATTTTTTTATTTTTTTATTTTGAGTTTTTTAACACATGGATCTCCCCTTCTGCTTTGAGATGTTATTTTCTAAAGCACACTTGATTCCTTCTTCGTTTTTTTCCTGCCGAGGTTAATTACTCTCTTGACTTGAAGAAGTTACATCACGGTCTAAAAAATATTCTTATATTATATTTTACCCAAGGGAGTAAGTAAATAACTTGCTTTTCACAAGATCACAAAATATTTTAGCCTCAATAAATAAAAGTATAATGTCTTAAAAATGGCCAAGCTTGCAGTCTTAAGAAAAAAAACAATAATCTTGAGATCCACATGGGCCCTAGGGCGTCAGCTCAGTATTGGGACTTAGATAAGATCAACATAATAATCAATTTTTAAAGGATCAATTTTTAAAGTGTGTGGCATCAATAATGCGTGGCATTATAATACAGATGGGGTTTCCATTGCTTAATAATGCGTGGCATTATAATGCTACAATGCGGGCCCATTAAACCATTTTAAAAATGGAATTTTAATATTAAATTTTCGGGATTAATGATTTAGGTTATGATATTATGGATATGAAAAAAAAAAGATAAAATCACACACACGCACACACCACGT